TCCACCTGCTGGCAACACTCTGCCTCATGCACCCCAGGAGACCATTGGCCTTCTTGATCACAAGGGCACACTGCTGCCTCGTGGTCAACTTGTTGTCCACCAGCACTCCCAGGTCCTTCCCTGCAGAGCTGCTTTCCAGCAGGTCAACCCCCAGGCTCTACTGGTGCATGGGATTATTCCTGCCTAGGTGCAGGACCCTGCGCTTGCCTATGTTGAACTTCAGGAGGTTCCTCTCCACCCACCTTCCCAGCCTCTCCAGGTCCCTCTGAAGGGCAGCACAGTCTTCTGGTGTCTCAGCCACTCCTCCCAGTTTACTATCATCAGCAAACTTGCTGAGGGTGCACTCTGTCCCTTCCTCCAGGTCACTGATGAATATATTGAACAAGCCTGGACCCAGGACTGCCCCCCTGGGGGACATCGCTAGCTACAGGCCTCCAACTAGACTCTGTGCTACTGATTACAACACTTGGCAAAAAAATAGCAAACACTAGAGAAAATTTTGAAATTTAATAACAACTTTGGCATGAGGATTCATTTAAATAAGTTTAATCTGGATATTTATATCCGGTGGAGCAGGAAACTGAAGCAGACCACCTCTTTCTACAGAGTACAGAACAGGCCAAGCCCATTGCACAGCAAACACAGGAGAAGGGGGAGAAAAGTAGCAATCTGAATTTAAGTTTTCAAAACTTCAGCTCCAGCAATAATGCCGCATTAGTGCAGAGACTCAGCCTCCGAAACTGCCAGCCAGTGATTAAAACACCTGGGCCATTAATAACCTTCAGTATGTAAGAGTTTTTCCTCATTGGGTCGTGATTAGGAAGCACCTGTGCTTGCATTCAACTGAAATTTGAAACAACTTAAATTTGAAATTGTGACAAATTATACCGTGGTTAAAAATAGCTAATTTGCTTCCTGTTTTACCTTTTTTTTTTTTTTTACTTTAGTGTAAGCACAACTCAGAGAAGAGGAAGAAAACATTTAGAGAAATCTGCAGGGAGCCTCACAGTGACATAAAGAGCTCTCAAGGGGAAGAAGGGAAGAAGAGAGCAGTAGGTAATATCATTAGATTCAAAGGCCTAATCCACCACCTTGCATTAGCCCATAAACACAAATATCAATTAAATATTTCTCCCTAACTTGGCAAGAACATTATAAGCTCAGTTTAATTACCTAAATGCAGTAATCCTATGTCACTGAGTTGCTCTACAATATCTGGAATATCCATACAAGGCTGAGATATATCACCTGGGACCTGCAGAACAGCTTTGCCTTTCAGGACTGGCAGCTGATGGTGAGACAGGATAGCCCAAGAAATCTCAAATAGCACAAGATATCTGTGTCCGGGCAACTGCCTCTATCCCCTAGTGCCTGTTATTTGTCCTGAGCTTCACCATGGTTCCTGGCAGAGAGCCCTAGACAGAATGAAATATCTCTCAAAATGCATATGTCAGCATATAAATTGCACAGGAAACTTACTTTCCGGCATTTACAAAGCTTTCGGTTCTCATATTGTATCCTTAAGAGCGTTGAAATACTTTATATGCATTGCTTTATTTTATTTTATTTTTTTTCCACCAGAGTCTAGTGTCTTTACTTTGCCAGTCCTGTCTCCAGTTTAATTTCTCCTCTGGCTCTTGGTCCACATTTTTCTTTCCTAGTTCACAGTTTCAGTTTCCACTTCTTCCTTTCCACTGCCCTTTCAATTCTAAATTTCTTTAAAATATCTAATATTACATCTCCAGCTCTGAGAGGTTTTCATTTTAGTGTCTGGCTAGATATAGTCAGTTGTGAAATATCTCCACTAAGGTCTTATTCCTTCTTCATTCAAATGATCCCTTCAAAAAAAAATGTTAACTTAGTCCCTATAGTTTCCATTCTCCATGTTCAAGGCTGAGACCAGATGGCCTAAACACTACAGTTAGATGAATTTTCAGAGAATTAGCAGTAAAGCTTTGTCAAGTCTCCCTGAAAGCATTCAAAGTGGTTTTAATTTGATTTAACATTTAGCCAAATTTGGGCAGATTTTCTTAGTTGCAACCAGTTTCTCTTTTTCTTCTCAGATTTCAAATATTTACACTAAAACACTTCAAAGAAAAAAAAGATATATTTTTTTTTTTTATTATAATCCATTCTCCCCTAATGGTGTTCCTGTAAATAGTTCTTTTTAATTTTTTTTTCAATGGTTAAAACTCACCAATGGAGAACAGATCCTAAAGTGGAAAAAGCCAGGCAATCTATCAGGCTACTAAGCAAGTTTACTGACCAGAGATGGAAATAATGAGATGTGGGACAGGTCTTTATGGAATAAAGCAGACAAACAAATAATGGAAAAGCGGATTTTTTTAGGTTTTGATAGATAGTTTATAGGGAAAGGAAGGAAGGAAGAGAGGAAGGAAGGAAGGAAGAGAGGAAGAAGAAAGGAAGAAAGAAAGGAAGGAAGGAAGAAAGAAAGGAAGGAAGGAAGAAAAAAAAATCAATATTTTCATCATCATCTGGATTGTTCTGCAACTTTAGGTCCTTGGAAAAGAGTTAATATTTACCAGCTCTTCAGTTACTGCCTTGCACTGTGCTCTGACTTCATATTTCTCATGCAGCTCATTTTCTCCTTATGGATCTCAGTGAAAAAGCATCACAGGCAAAAGGGCAATCAGCCTTCAGAGGTGTTCTCCCTTTATATTCCTCAGATTACTTGATTTCTCATGATTTTTACACCCCTTCATGCTGCTCAGCCATGTGAAGGTTAAATAAAAATGTCAAACACTGGATATAACGTCTACAGGACAAAGACGTAAACTAACAGATCTCTTCACACATCTATAATATGTGA